TTACCGACGAGTGTTCGGTAACTCGGCGGAGCACAGGGGCACTCCATCCGGTCTGAGTCCACCACTGACCCACATGCAGAGCATAATGATGCTGGTGGTGGAGTCGGTGGAGTCGATGAAGAGCGGACTGAGCCTGATCCTGATCCTCAACCATGAATGACAGATACCACAAGGCAGCCAGGGACGGATACCTGGACCTGCTGAAGGAGGCCACTAGGAAGGACCTCAACGCCCCGGATGAAGATGGCATGACACCGACGTTATGGGCCGCTTACCACGGCAACCTGGAGGCGCTGAGGCTAATCGTGGCCAGAGGGTGCGTAAAAGAATTTATGACCGCTGTCTAATTATGAGCGCAAAGGTTTCCAGAGGCAGACCCAAGCCTCACCCACGTCCTGCAGGTCCATCTTTACTTTGGGAACGGGACTGCTGACAGTTTTAGACTAGAAGACCACAGTTTTATTACTTCCCTAAATATTTATAGTTGGGTTAGATTTGGGAGATTGATAAAAGCCGTATTTTTAAAATTTGGTTTTAAGTTATTCATTAAAATTATAATATTGGAGACTTGCTTGACCACAAAGTGCAGTATTTTTCTTAACAAAAATGTGAATTTTAAGAAGATCCTTTGATGAACAATATTGGTCAAAAATGACCCGACTGTGCTTTAATTTGCTTTAATATAGTTGTAATAAATTAATTTAATCATTCAGTATTCCAGCTAATCCTCCATTAAGTTCAAACGTCAAAAACGACCCTTATTGATTCCCTATGTTATTTGATGCATACCTGGGTGTCTATGCAATATCTATAGTCATTATAGATTATCATTAAATAATCCAAATATTAAGTGAATATTCTTTTTACCTAGTGCAGTACATCAAGTTCAGACGTGGGTTAGCACTAAAAAAAATCGTGACCCACGTGATTTTTTTCCGTGCTTGGATAGAAACATATGTAGTTTGTCCATGTCTGCAGGATTTGTATTTACTGGAAATAGCTATTTGCCTGTCATACAAACAACATTAAAATCTTGTTTTACCGTTCATACATTTTCAAAGAAGATATGTGACCGCAGTTCAAAGATAACTGTGTATACTAATTAATTTGTTTAAATCTAGCATCAAATTAAGTGTATTACCTCAGAAAGGGAAATAACGTTATCCCGCTAGCTTTGGACATATTATCTTCTCCCTAGCTAAGTTAACTTGGATAAAAATCAAACTACAGGACAACTGCAAGGTCAAAATCAGACAGAGGCAGATTTTGCGTTTTGGATTTCTCTTTGCAGAGTTGTACGTAGCATTACGATCAAGCAAAATGTAAAAATATAGGTGGTACATATCAACTTACGTCGTCTTGTTAGTCGATCACAGTTTGTATGAAATGCTGGTAAACAGCTTAATTCTTTAGCTTTTAAACACGCAATGGCAGAATATGGGGAAGCAACATTTGGTGCAATGTGAGAGAACTAAGTTGGCAATTTCCCAGGGTTTGAGTGCAGATGGCATAACATAGACTTCTGATTGACACAAAGTACTAAAGCAAAACTTTAACAGCTGCTGTAATGTTTTACAGAGACACCAGACTCATAATAGCTGGGGATATATTGAAGAGAGGTTTAATGCTGCTTCATATCATATCCTGGGAAAGATGCCATTCAGGTCTATTTTGTCAAAATATATTGTATTGTCTGACCTGCAGTAACATCAAGCTGTCAAAGGAGGTGAAGATGCTAACAGCTCATAATATGATAAAAAGCAGGCGAGGGTTATGTGAGCAGAAGTACCGCAGCCATGATTAGAATTTTACTGGGACTTAGATAAATTACGACACATAAAACTATCACGTATTGTCTCTGGATGATGACAAACGTATTGTATAATCTTTATTTGGTTTGGTTTGTAAAATTTGTTTATCTTGTCTTTGCAGTTTATGGCATTTTTATCTTCCTTCATCTCCAGACATGTTATCCTTTTGTTTAAACACTGTTTTATTATGACTTTCTGGGCTTGGCGCCACCAGTCTGTCATATGCTCTAACAACAGGGATATCTCTTACCCAGGACACCTTTTTACCTTTCTAGAGACATTTTTGTAACTCAGTGCTGTTACAACGATAATAAAGGTTTTTCTATTCTAAGCTGAATGGAGGCAAAGAAATCAGTTTAATGCTGGTATTGTTGTCCTGCTTGGTTTTGGCCAAGCTGACACACATTCCTTGTGTGAAAACACCACAACATGATCCATTAATAATGAATTGGCACTACAACAGCAGCTTCATGTCCATCCCATCAAATATTTAGCAGTCTTTATGTGACAACGCCGAAAGAAAGCTGGAGTCAGAACACAACACTTTTTAAAAACATAGTGTAGCACTGAGCTAAAATAATAAAAAAGAAATCTATTAAAATATACATTAAACACTTTCACACAGCGGTCTGGCAAAAAGTTAGCTAAATATTGGGAAAAATGCCCAAAACGAAAATATCCAAACGTTAAATAGTATTTCCCAAGAAATAACAGAGAAATAAAAGTAAATGCTGCAAGCTGGTTAAGTAAAGCTAAGGTATTGCCAACATTTTTAAATTAGCCAAATATTAGGGAAAAGTACCTTAGATTGGTTAGCATTATCAAACAGGTGACTAAGTTAGCCTGCTATTTCTTATTTTAGTACTGCAAAGTATCAATACAATAGCTAACTGAAGTAACTCAGGAAAACATAAAATGGCCATGCACTAAATATAAATTAGCATTAGCTGAAAGATAGCAAACAGAATTGTATTTGGACAGGGGTAAAAAAAAAGTATGTTCTTGGTTAAAACATTGTCAGTTAGAAGATTCATTTTTTAATTAGTGAAAGCGCTATAGGATATAGATTTTAGGGTCTGTTAAAGAAAACAAGTAGAAAACCTGTACACGTGCGTTGTAATACGGGCAGTGGTGGCTTAGTGGTTAAGGAAGCAGACTTGGGTGCGGAAGGCTTCAGGTTTGAGTCCACCAGCTGCCAAGTTAGGTGAGGTGAAGCGCTCTGAGCAAGGCACCGTCCCCACATACTGCTCCCCGGGCGCTTAAAGCTGCCCACTGTTTACTTTGGTGATGGGTTAAAGGCAGATTGTGTTTGTGGTTGTGTTTGTCACGGCGTGAATGACAAATAATTCTCTTTCCTTAATACTTAATGTTCAGACTCAAGGAATTCACTGTGTCATCACAGCCTGTGCACCATTGTGCTTTGTGAGTCAGGTGTAACAAACTCAACCTCCCCTGAAATAAGATCCAGCTTGTTTAGCAGAGGTGCTGGTAGGACTGTACTCATATTACAGGTCTGCAGTATAGAGGTAACCCTGAGGTCCTGGGTTGTAATGCAAGGCAAAATGTTGCCTATGTGTTTGGATCGCGGCGTTGTATTAGTAAAGTCAGTTTTGGGCCTGTCTTTTAAATCATGTCAGCCATATTTGAAAGCATGCACTAATGTTTTTGTGTGGTGCCTTGTTTTGGTGGACCTAAGACATGGTGGTGCATGGTGGTAGTGCAGTACGTTTTAAAAAGGTCTCATTATCTTCCCACTCATGCCAATGTGTTTGTTGGTTTCAAATGCTCAGTCATGACCTGGTTGTCAGTGGTAGGGCTAACTGTTAAGTCATTATTTTTAGGGATTGAATACCAACCTATGAATGATTGATTACATTATAGCAGTGGTTCTCAATTATTTTCTGTCATGCCCCCCTGTTGGGGACAGAAATCTGTACAAACCATTGTATGAGTTGCTGCCACCTAGTGACTGGAGGCTTGTTATCATTCAAGCATTACAGCAGTGGAAAACGTTTCTGCACCCTCAACCAAGAGGGGCCCGCCTGCAGTACTGCATTATAGGAACCTGTGTCATTCCAGTAATGCTTTTTTTTATACTGCAACCAACATCATTCAGAGTTAGCCTTTCAAAAGGCTTGGATTGTACAAACCATTGTACCATCTGTATCAGAGTTAGCCTTTCAAAAGGCTTGGAGAAGACACCCATCTTTTAATGTCATCAAACTGAAGACAAACCTTTGAAACTCTCACCAAATCCAACAAACAATAACATGTTTTTTATTCTGTCAGTTAGCAATAGGCGTAGAAAATGGCTTTTTGGGTGCTAACCTGAAAATATGGTGTTTTAATTTGGACATTCACGATTTGAACTGCCGCTGTCACGACCCCTGATGAAGGGTCAAGTCAAAAGTCATTCAAAGCCTAATTTATTTTACAATTTGAAGAAGCTAAAATGTTAAAAGAAATGTAAAAAGAAGATGTTAAATAAAGTCTGTTAGAATTTCAGTTGTATCTCGTGTGTTTTTCATGGCTCACAGAGGAAACCCTGACAAGTGTGACATATGGGGTAACACACCGCTCCACCTGGCGGCTGCCAACGGTCACATGAACTGCCTCTTCTTCCTGGTGTCTTTCGGTGCCAACATATGGTGCCTGGACAACGACTACCACACGCCGTTGGACATGGCCGCCACAAAAAACCACATGGATTGCGTCCGCTACCTGGACTCCATCGCAGCCAAGCAGACTAGCCTGAACACCAAGCTGGTCAGCAAGCTAAAGGATCGGGCCTTTCGAGAAGCCGAACGGCGAATCAAGGAGTGCATGAAGATGCAGAAGAAACACCGCAAACGAATGGAGAAGAAGCATCACAGGGAGGTCTCCGAAGCTTCTGCATCTGATGTCATGAGTTTTTCTAGTTACACTGGCAGCTCTGTTAGCCACAAGCTGCGCCATTACAATGCTGCTACTGTCAGCGTGCCATATTCACAGGTCAGGAGATTTCATTCTACTCTAGTCACATAATTACATCTTTATATTAACAACCACGTTGGCTCCTTTATGATGGAACTGTGTTTTCTCCCTGTTCTGTTAGGCTACTCTCCATGCCACAAATCGAGGGAAGACTAAAATTCAGAAGAAGCTGGAGAAGAGAAAACAAGGAGATGGGACTTTTAAAATCTATGAGGACGGAAGAAAAAGTGTGCGCTCGCTCTCTGGGCTTCAGCTGGGCAATGACGTCATGTTTGTCAAGCAGGGGACGTATGTGAATCCGAGAGAGCGAGGACGCCGCAACATTCGGGACATGTTCCCCCGAGACAATGACGATGCCATTTCACGTGCCATGAGCGAGCCGGACTTCCATGGGCCTGACATTGACTTTTCTGAGATCAGCACCGACTCTGGGCACGATTCCTTGTTCAACCGGCCTGGTCTGGGCACCATGGTATTTAGGAGGAACTATGTGAGCGGGGGCATGTTTGACCTTGGTCACAGGGATGAGGCCGGGACCAGCCATTCTGGTAATAATGTGCGTTTACGTAGCCGTCTACAGCCATATCCGAGTGCAGACGAAGATAGCATCGGCAGTGCACGCAGTCTACAGGAGAGGAATGTAGAGGAACTGCCCTGGGACGAGGTAGAACTGGGACTGGATGATGATGACGAACCTGAAACGAGTCCTCTAGAAGTGTTCCTGGCCACCCAGAGCATGGTGGAGTTTTACTCCATCTTCAGGAGAGAGAAGATTGACCTTGAAGCGTTGCTGCTCTGCTCCGACCTTGACCTTAAAAGTATCCACATTCCCCTAGGACCACGGAAAAAGATCTTGGACGCCTGCAAGAGACGACTGGAGACAATAGAAGACCCAGACTGTATAGAGGACACAGAACTATGACTTTGGAGACACACTTTACTTTTTTATGTTTGGAACCTGATTTAGCAAGGACGTATTGTTTATTATTGTTTTCTCTTTACACCAGCACGGTGGACTTAATGTAAAACAATGATTTAAAGGAGTGCCAACTTAGGTTTGATGGTTTAAAGGAATTTTACTCCAAAAGAAGTACAAATGATGAACAAACTTTGTTCATGTTTAAAAGTGCGACAAGTACAGGTGGAAGTTACTCGGATCAAATATCCAAACTGAATAGTGCACAAACAGACTTGAACCGTAACAAACCTTTGACATTGAAAGACAAGGCTGGATGTGTCTTGAAATTAGGTGAATGGATGGTATTGAGACCTGCTATGACCGAGTTACTGTTGTTCAATCCAGACTTCAAACTTTTTTTTTCCATTTTTTTAACAACAGGTTATGATGTCATGCTATAGCCAAACGTAACAGGCATGATACTGACAGACGCCAAAAAACGTCTTTTACGTTAAGGACGTATAGTGGTGTTTCCTCAGGAACTGGTTCTTGCTGCATAGCACTTGGCTTGACTTTGTTTTTAAAAATCCTGCATTTACAAATAGGTAAGACAAATAAAACAAATTAGTCACTCAATAACAGGCCAGATTTTCTCTTAAAACCAAACTTGCTTTTCCTCTTGTTTTTTTCCTTTCTAACCTCTGTTACACTGGCATGTTGTTCAGCTCGAGTCCCCAGCACTACAGGGTTGAACAATCAATCAGAAAGACTACTGCAGAATGCAGTACTGTGGCCTGGGATTGTACAGTACTTTATGCCTCGTGGCATAACAGACAAAGAGTTGATTGTAGGGTTTGTTTCCCTGAAGCTTGTTTGCCACCATGGGGCAAAACCCTACTGTTCTAAGTGCCTGCACAGCCTGATTTTTTGAATTTTAAACTGTCACTAGAAATGTAGAAAGGTTTTCAAATACAACACTGAGAGCTTGTTTTTCACACTGACGTCTGCAGACGTTTACATTCAGCAGGCTTCACTGCTTCTGCTCAGGTCAACTGCACTGAGATTATGTTTGGGTCAGAAACAGTGTTACATAATTTAAAGAACAGGACATTTGGAACAAGTTAAGTATTACAAACAAATTACAAATTAAGATGTTTGCTCCGTTGTTTCTTGTGTTGAGTGTTGTAAAAAACCTGATCAAAGAAAACTCAATCAAAGATTGTTGAAACGTGTCCTGACAAGTTATAGTTATTGAAATCAAACATCTGACGTTTTCCTGGTACTGTAGCTGTGTTTAATGGGTTTCTTTGTTAAAAATTTTAGCATTATTTTCCCTAAACAAAGTGACGACTCAGGCGTGATTCCAACCACACAGGTCTGTTTGGAGCCATAATTTTACTGCTTTTAAGACTTTGTTGTGTCTGAGTGTCAAAAATGTTTTGGCATCATCACATCCTCGGCTCTGCAGTTAACCCTTCTTTGTCACCAACAGAGGTTCACTGCCTTCTTATGTAAGGTCTGCCAGTGAAGGAAAGCTGCGTTGTGTAAGCCTTGGGATTTTTACAAAGAAATGTTGTCATGAGCCGCCAACGTCTATGGCGCTCTGGGCATCGTAACAACTGATAAAACGTCCAAAAGACCAAAGTGAGAACATTTTAGACTTCAACAGTGTATTTAATATCAACGCGGACCTGCCGGTTCAGCTTATTTGATCAGAGTTTTCACTCAACGATACCTGATCCTCTGTTTGTCCTTGTTTTTGTTGTAGGAATTGGCAGAGATTGAGATGGATGGGTTTTTAACCTGTTTTTTTGTCCTGCAGTTGTAGAGTAAAGGCCACAAACATCCACAGACAAATTCACAATTATTTTCAGAAAGTGGCTAACATTGACTGTACTATATAGTAATATACATGAACACTACAGTACATCATTGTCAGGAAATCCAACATAGATCCTAAAACTTCCCTTCAGCATGAATTTTGATAGTTCCCATGACGTTTTTGTTTTTTTAACATGCACTATGTTTTTTATGTTTCCCAGTTTTATGAATTAAAAATTAAATAAAAAAATCTGAAAATATAGCTAAATTATTTAAAAGTAACCAAATCTTAAATAAGGTTAAAGTCAGCTTAATTTAACAAATTAACCGTTTAGTTCAATCGATAGTTTGTAATGTCTTTAAGCTAGGCAAGTAGAAGCTTACATCAGAGAAACATATAATTAGTAATTTGGCAAATTAGTCAGAAAAAACACATTGCAAAAACAAAAATCCAAAAAAACGAAGGAAGGAAGGAAAGTGAACTATCTGTCATTGTGACACACAACAAAATGTGACCTCTGCATTTAACCCATCACCAAAGTGAGCAGTGGGCAGCAGTGTGTGGGGACGGTGCCTTGCTCAGAGCACCTCAGTGGTGGCAGCTGGTGGATTCGCACCTGCAACCTTCCAGACCCAAATCCACTTCCTTAACCACTAAGCCACCACTGCCCCAGGCAAGTTTTTAAAAATCTATACTTTTTTTTTTTATCGTCGTACTGATGTTGGTCACAGCATCTTACAGAATAAGAAATGCCCTACTTTGGTGGCACGCCATAAACACTATTATGAAGACATAAGTCATAGGTCCCGTGTTGTTCTTTGGGCCACACTTTGGACATGATTACTCAGCTGTTTAATAGGTGTCAGTACTTTGCATGTCAGTAAGAAAATGTATTTAAATCCCAGTTAATTTTCGCAAAGGCTGCAAAAAAGATTGTTCTTCCACTAATTCAGCTTTTATGAATGTCAAAAATTACCGCCATCTAGTGGCCACTTTGCAACATGAACACATTAACCCGTTTTTACTGCAGCTTTATTGTGAACATACTCTTCTGAAATGTGACATAAATCAAGAGAAACGTGCATTTTTATTTGTTTAACAAGTCCCTTCAGGAAATAGGAAGTCTACTGGGACTCCACAGGTAATGCCTCCTGGTAATGCTGTAGGATTGTCTCATACAATCGTCAAGGAAATCATTAACAGTAATGTGATTGTAGCTTCAGGCATTAAAATCTGTCTCATTCTCATCATAAGCTGGATTCACAAAGTAAACACCACCTGCCTGAGTGAATGCAATTGAATCGGTTGTGCCATTGCCTTGCAGGCCGGGAAGATCAGGCAACATGTTTAGGTTGTCAAACATTGGGTTGTCAAAGCCATGGTCTAATGGACCCCCGAGTTCACCGACATCACTGTTTCTCTTCAGTTTGCTGAGAGAAACCTGCCAAGACACTGAGGGCATTTGAATGATGCCCTTGTGCACCAAAGCAAACACAGTGACAATGAATGCGATCAAAACCAAACCTCCAATCACAGCCCCGACCACCACCCCAGTACTGTCTGCAGATTGATCGCTGCTGTTGCCAGAAGAGGCCTGAAATTCAGCCGCAGTGATTCCAAAGCTGGAGCCGTGAGTGCGGACATCCTTCAGTATGTCCCTGGCCAGAGCCTCTGCCTGAAGGCCTCCCTGTCCGTCTACAAGAACCACCTGGATCTCAGGTGAGGAGCCGAAAGGGATGACCCCCATCAAACGCTGCGACCTGGAGACCTTAGACATGGCCAGCTGAATGGATTTGTATTTTGGTAAGATGAGGAAGAGGTGGTGAATGCGTTGCCTGTACGTCTGCAGGTTGAAACCGGCGGTGAAATGGATGGTGACCAAGGCCCCGCACACGTGGCAGCAGTGTCCGACAGCTAAGAGGGGCTTCTTGCAGCTCAAAGCGGTGCATTTCACACGTGCACAGATCAGCTGATGGTTCACGGAGTTTCCGCACTCACACCCAGAAGGATCTCCACAGCCTGGACTTCCCACAGTGACCGCAGAGGATCCGTGGAACTGCAGCCGACCTGACCGTGAGTTGAGATACTGTGAAAACTCCGATCCACTTTCAAACTTCTTCCCCAGCACAGATACAGATTTAACAGGGATGGCAGACAGGCTGGAGCTAGTGTCCACTTTGAAGGAGGACAGGTCCTTGAAAACCACATCATCATACCGGCAGGGAACACTCTCCTCATGGACTGAGAACAAGAAGTTTTCACGCTGTAGATCATCGACAGTCACAGCTCCCTGCCACAGAGCTGGATCCAACCACTTCAGAGAGTCTGAGTCTTTGAATTTGGTCATGACACCTTGTCCACAACCTGGGTCTTGTCCTGCCATGACGTAAAACCCAGCTCCAGAATTCAGGATGAACTCTCCGTCCATTGGCAACCTCATCTCCTGCACGGCGTGTGTCGTTTTTACAAACACAGAGACTTTTCTTTGGGCTGAAAACCAAACTTTGTCACTGCCACATGGAACGTCGCCCTTGTCCCAGTTTGTCTTGTTCTCATAGTTGGTGTCAGGAATCCACTGCTTGTACAGGGCACCAGCTGCCCCCGTTAGACAGGAGAGAAGCAGCAGGTCTGTTGTTGTCATCATCCTGAATGTTTGTGAGACAGACTGGGAGGAAGTTCCATGACCTTTGTTTCCAACATCGTGACAAACACGAGTGGATGTAAACTGAAATTAGTGAGGCAGGTGGTCTGTAAAAGATTAACATCACCTGAAGGGACATTTCTATGTAGGCATTTCTTTCAGTTGTCAGTGGTTTCCTAATTCAAAGTTACATAATTTACCTTTACTCACTGCTAATAATATAAAAATATGAACGTGTCATCAAAAAGCTAATCCTAAAATACTTAAATAAAAATGGAGAAAATCATGTTGTAATTTGTCAAAACCTTAAGTAGATAATCATTTTCAAATGGTATCTGAAAACTGTGAGGCATTGTGAGTTTAATTTGGAATCATTTCCACACATTCAATCACAAAGGGGGCGGGGTCACACATGACCCCACCCTATTAGCCTAAACTAACAACACCTGTGGGCCATCAGTGATGAAGTTCTGTGAAGCTCCTGCAGGTAGAAGGAGCAGCTTGGGTGATTTTCTTTTGCTTTGTTTTTCTTCTTAATTATTGTTTTTTTTTAGTCAAAATATATGAACTCCTGGTTCCTAGCATTTCGCCTGTGACATTATAGTGTTCTGCCATATCTGTTTGGACATGATGAAGACCAAAGCTCATCAGATGTTTAGGACCAGCAACAAACTTTTGTCGAGGTAAACTTAGTCAATGAGCTGCTGCCTTCTGCTCTGGGACCATTTCCCTCCTTCAGCTATTGTTCCTAAAGAAGAGAAATGAGGAGTTATTCAATTAATTAAGTGTTTAAACCAAATAATTAATACATTTCAAGTACCAACAGGTTGAAACTAATAACAGATGATTTATTTTTTATTTATTTATTTTTTTTAATTTTGCTGCAGAAAAACACCTAATGACGTTGTGGAGGCCCACCCATCCAACATCGAAACTGCAGCACAGCTGGAGAACATCCAACAAGTTTCCTCTCCTTCCCCTTCTCCCAGTGTTGAAGTGGTGAGACAGCACAGCCACCACGTGGAGGCGGTGGTGGAGAGAGCTCACCACGGTGGTGGATGGCTCCTGTCCGGCATCATCTGCCTGAACGTGTTGATCCTGGGCTGTGCTTTTGTCGCCGGCAGTGCCATGAGCGGCGTCATCACGGGTGTGCACCTGCAGATCTTCCTCATCGTCCTCATCCTCCTCACAATGCTGTGGATGGTCTTCCACATGGTGGTCACCTCCCGAAAGGACCAGGGAGCGTTGTTCAAAGACAGCCACGCAGGACCTGTGTGGCTGAGAGGTCAGAGCTGATTTGTGTCTGAGTTTTATGAAAACTCAGCTAGCCAAACTTTAAGATACAGTTTCCAGAGGCAGCAGCTAGGCTAGGCTAATTAGAACAAATATAGCCTGAGGTTGACCAAACGTTAGCTAAAATAAGTCAAGCAGGAAATGCTAACGTTTGGACAAAGATATAATCTTCCAACTTTGTCCAGCTGTGGGGAAATGTTCACAAGACAGCTAAAAGTCAAACCCACTTAACTTAGTGCTGCACAAGCTAACATGTAGGGATACTAAATGTAATGGCCTCAGACACACACAAATATGGTTGTTTTTTTTTCCACCAGTGCAAACATAGATGTGACTGTAATTTTGTTTGTAGTTTTACTTCATAACGTCTTTGAACGTCCACAGTGGGACTGGTGCTGTTCGGTTTCCTCAGCCTCCTCATGGACGTCTTCAAGATCGTCAACTACGTGGGTTACCTTCATTGTGACTCTGCAGTAAAAGTGGCTTTCCCAGTCGTGCAGGCTGTGTTTTTGTTTCTCCAGGTTATTACAGTCATGCAATTAAAAAAAACACGCCCAACCCTAATGGCACCTTTAACCATTTACAAAAGGTCAAATAACAATAACTGATTCTTCTTTTAGACCTACTTCCTTTGGACTCATGCAAAGGATTGTGTGCAGCTGCACACAAACATTACCAGGTGTGTTGTTCCTCATGCCAGTTATCTCTTCGCCTAATGTTATTACAGCATGACATAATATGACATGACTGAAACCTGGCTGCAGCAGGTAATTATGTCAGTCAACAAAACCGCTCCTCTGGTTTTGCTTGGATTTCCCATGATTCAGGTCAGTGACTGTTGGGTTATGTAACTGGAAGATTCTCCGTGTTTCTGTTAGACTGCATTTTGCTTCTATACGGTTTTAGATGTTAGTATCAGAATATCCAGAAGTTCCATCAAACTCTTATCTCTTAAGAAATAAGAGAAAATACTATTAGAAAATACTGAGAAAGGAATATATATATTATTTTGGTGTTGGTTGCTGCTGACTTTAAAGCTCAGAATAAAACCCCTGTGGTAGATGCTTTTACACACAAAAAATACCAACATTTTTTTCATGCGGGTTTTTCTGAGTTTTTTTCATTTTGCTGATTAAACCCAAACCTGAAAAGCATCAGGCCATGAATGTTGTTTACGTCTCCATGTGATGTCATTAGGGAGAACGATTAACTGAGTTGCGCTGCTGATGCCAAAGTATTCTGGTATTTACAAAAGTGACCGACGGCCCAAATATACACAAAATATTGCTTTAAGGTATCACACGTCAGTCACACGTTAGTAAAAGTGCAGTGTAAACCTTTGTCAGCCGCTTCTAGATTACATGATCACTGGCTTGTTTGAATTGATTGTAATCAGTGTGTACATTTCAGGTGTGGTCTGACCCTGACTCTCTCCACTAACCTGGTGTTGTGGATGGCGGCCGTGACGGAGGAGTCTCTGCACCAAACTGAAATTCCCGACTTAAATACCAGCGTGTCACACAAGATGTACAGAGGTATCGGGTTTAACCTGCTTAAAATGAATATATATTGAATAAGTCAAGTGTTGCTTAAACCTTATCCTTACTTCAGCGAGTTATGATTACGGTAAGGTGAAGAAGTGTCAGTGCAGCCACTCGGCGTGCGACACCTTCAAAGAGGCCTTCTACTACATGTACCCCTTCAACATCGAGTACAGCCTCTTTGCTTCCACCATGGCCTACGTCATGTGGAAAAACGTGGGCCGCCTCGTGGAACATCACAACCACCACAACGTCAAGTTTCGGCCCAAGGACATTTGCGTGGGACCCCTGACAGGAGTGCTCATGGCGGTGGCGGGACTCGTGACGTTCGTCCTGTACGAGCTGTACATTCTACAAGAGGAGAAGGAGAAGAGAAACAGAGCTCTACTCATTCACTTCATCTCCAATATCGTGATCGTGAGCCTGATGTCCATCTCTACTGCCATCGGCTGCATCATCTACCGGCTGGACCGCAGGGAGCACGTATCTGAGAAGAACCCGACCCGTACTCTGGATATGGGGCTGCTGGTGGGGGCGTCAATGGGACAGTTCATCATTAGCTACTTCTCCATCGTGGCTCTGGTGGCGTTGGGGGCCAAAGGTCACCTCAACGCCCTGAACCTCTCGTGGGCCGTGCTTGTCGTGCTGGAGCTCGGACTCCAGAACTACTTCATCATCGAGGGCCTGCATCGCGAGCCCTTTCATGTCATGCAGGAAGCTGCTCTGCACACAAACGCGCACACTTTTCAAGAACACGCAGAGAGCGTCGAGCGCGAGAGAGGTAAGAAGAACTACTTCCTGAATTCTTACGCTGATAAGCTGAGCTGGAAACGAAGAATCTTGAAGGAAGTTTGCGCCTTTTTACTGTTTGGAAATGTCATCGTAAGTTGTCCTGCCTCTTTGTGATTGATTTATCTGAAATCAAACCCATTCTTAGTAATGAATTCTCCTGTTGACAGCTTTGGATCATGCCTGCATTTGGTGCACGTCCCCAGTTTGATCACACCACAGAGATCAAATTCTACAAATTCACAATGTGGGCGGCGATCGTAAATGTTGGACTTCCTTTTGGAATCTTCTACCGCATGCACTCCATCGCTAGTCTGTGTGAGGTCTATTTAACCTCGTAGGTGAACCAGCTCAGTTATCTGTCAGTATGTCATGTAAATATTCTAATTAAATAATTGTATCAATAAACTGTTTTTAAACAAATGTAGGTTGTCATTTAGCATTCATGGCTTTGTTTTATGCATTATTTAAACACATTTGCATGTAGTAGCTGATGAGGGTAATGTTTTATTGATCTAAACAAACATTTAAAAAAAAAAGAGCATGTTTTATAAAAATACAAATAATTAATTTGGCATAATTTGCTAAAAATCTGGTTTATTCATTTAAGCTGTGCTGTGTTAATATTGACATTTGCTGAATGATGCTGGAGTGAGAACTCAACTGTGAACCTAATATGGAACTTGGGAGAGTTGTTGTATGGCCCACGACTGTGCAACTACGTTTTCCAATGTAGAGGAAAACTATATCTGTGCCGATGTGTTTCTGAACTGTGGAACCATTTTTGGATATTTTATTATGCTTAAAATATCCAATTTTATTTAACAAATGCTTGTTATGTATATGACTTTGATGTCAGGCTTTTTTATGTCAGTTGTTTTGATGTTCTTGTTGAACATTTTTAGCTATTCCTGGATTAGGGTAAGCTAACAATATTTTAAGCTAATGATTGGGCTAGCAATGTTTCCTCAGAGCTCTGTATTTTTTTACATTGTTGACAAATTATACCTAATTTTAAATAAATTATATATATATGTTTATATAGGCACTGACTTATACCTGAGTTTATTATTAGATATAGTTTATTCATCTAAGAAGCAATTATTTATTTTTCACCTGACAAATAAAAAACATCAGTGCATCTATATATATACATATATATATATATATATATATATATATATATATATATATATATATATTCAGTAAAGGTAAAGTCCCAGTAAAATACAGTGTAACATTGAGCATTATAAGTATAATCAGCCATTTCTAAACATAAATCTGTTCATATACAGCACATAAAAACATCTGTCTCCAAACGTCTGTTACATTATCACATTACATAGTAACAAGATGGTCTCTTGATGAAGAATGCAAGTTCACTTTAAAGCACACGGCAGGTACAACAACAAAAAACACCAACATCGTGCAATCCAGGATACAGACGTGTGTTACTGTACAGGCCCCGATGGAAAGCCCAACACCTTCCATAACAAGTCTGATTGAGAAGCTGAAGCAACGCTTCCTCCTTCTTTGTGATTGTGTCAAAGAAGTATTGGCTTTTAGGAATCTGGTCGATCCGCTCAGTAGTGTGACAAACATTCAGTGGTCTCCAGGTCTGACGATCTGCTTTAAAAGGAATAAAAATATTGAAATGATCCGTCCTTATTATGAGAGTAATCTGCATTCATTTGAGTGACTCTCCTACTGCACTGAACAGTGTATGTGAGGTCAGCGGGCATTATGAGGATGTATATAGGCTAATTAAACACAGTGAGGTTCACTGGTAAACCAGGAAGTAATGGAAGAGGAGGAGGAGGAGGAGGAGGAGGTTAGGGTGGTGTCTACATCCTCTGAATCTCAAAGAGTCTGACGTCGGTGTCATACCAGATGGGAGGATCCACATTACTACAAGGAAAAAAAATAAAAATATCAGTTCAGTTACTGTTGCAAGATTTTCCTTTCCACTTTCATTTGAATATTGGCATAAAGCTCAGACTCACTGACTCACCGTAAATACACCACACCCCACATGTAAGTGCGAAACCACATGGCGGTGCCTGCGTTGGCCTGGTACTTTCTGATAAGAATGGGGTGAGGAACAGGCAGCAGGCCCACTAACGTGCCATGCTGCAGAAACTTCAGGATCTCTGATTCATCCGTCAGGCCTCTGCAGGGTAAAATGTCATTACATTAAAAGTTGTGATGAAAAATGTCCAACTGTGAATTCAACAGAGGATACTGTGAGTCGTCGTACTTGTCGATGCAGATCTTCTCCACCTGAGGAACTAAGACTTGCAGCAGACGCATGATAGTCTGCAAGGGGAGCTTACACTTCCAGGAGAGCACCTGTAAGGTCGAAGTGGGCAACATGCATCGAGTTGGTAATGTCTCAAGTGTCCAACACAAAATGATAGAATAGCATTTTTTTTTCCTCACCCAGTCAGGTGTAGGAGCCCAGAACGATGATGTAGAAGCACTCGACAGACGTCTTTTCTCCATTTCTGCTTCCGTGTAGAAAACATCCTAGTAGTTAAAAGTAAAATAGTCAAAGGTTTGAATACTAGGGAACAGCTACTGTACAAATACACACATATACACACACGTACCTCATTTTCTCTGCCCGAATTTGACTCTGTATCACTGGCTGCGCTGGCTGCACAGTGTTCCGTTTGGACAGCGTGTGAAGAATCTGTCTTTGGGATGGACACCATGGTGCCGTCCTCTGACACCTGGGACTTTTCAGTGAGTTTATCAATGCCTACAGGAAAACAGCAATCACATGAAGACAGCATTTGATAAAAGTAGCATTGAGTCCACTCAAAAGTTCATGTTCAATTTCAATCATTATACATTCAAAGAAACCTGCTGTCTGTGTTTTTCTGTTCATATTCATGCTTCATTAATGGTGATCATGAAAACATAGCCTTCGGTGACTGCAATTACGGTAATGACCTCAGAGCTATACATGTTAACGTGAGTCACATTTACATAACTCCCCATCCATGTCCATAGTCCACAACACTAAATTGCTAAAGTCCTACCTGGCATGGCAACCAGACTGGCCTTCAGGGTACCAGGTTCTGCTGGCACAGCAGGGCGAGAGCCTTCCATGGAGACAGTTTCCTGTGAGCTGGTTCGCGAAATCATATCTGGTGACTTCCTCTTCCTCTGCAAAGCCTTTTGAATGGAAGAAGGGTCAGATGGCAGGTTGGCCAGCTGGTGGAACACGTTACGTTTGCGAATGATGGCGTACACCAGGTTACAGTTTCCTAAAGGTGAAGAAATAAATGAATGGACACTTTTTAACTAAGTAATGCTTTCAAAAATGTGGAGTTCAAACAATACTAGTATTCAGATGTTCATAAAACAAATACCATCAAACTGGTACTGGATGAGGTTGTTGAATGCCTCCAGGAGGAAGAATGCAAGATGATGGTTCTGTGCAGCAGAGAAGAGGAACCAGCTGGTGGAAAAGGCTTCCAACAGGTGGAGCAGTTTATTAGCCGCGACCATGGACAAGCTCTTCAAGTATGGAGAGACTGCAAAAAAAGCAAAAAAGTGGCATAACAAAACATTTTAATAGCGCATGTAGCAGACATTTTTATTGTCCAGCAGATGTCAGCAAAGCCTACCATTGACAACGATAGTGAGCAGGCAGTCAAACAAAGGCTGCAAACGCTGGTGACCTGTGGTGATGATCTTGTGAAACACCTACAAAACAAACACGGTGACAGCTGTGAGCACAGGCTGTTTCCATGGAGTCAGAGACACAGGAGCAGACCTTTAGGTAATGAAACAAAGGGGAAGTCTCACCACTATCAGCAGGTCAGCATGAGTCCCTGTAAACACGGGGATGTCCATGGGAACATGGAGAGAGTAGGGTTTATTCAAACGCACTCCAAAGTTTCTCTCCCCGCTCAACAGCAGCAGAATGAACACGCCGATGTGCATTAGTCCAACGCGGGCTGCGTTCAACGGGCAAACACAGATTCATGTGTGAAGGTGAGACTCGTTAGCATAGCAGCAACTGTAAACATAGCAACGGTAGAATGAGGCTTACACTGGTCAGCTCTGGCATCATTTAGGTAGAAGAGGATTGGAACCAGAATATCCAGCACATCGCTGCTCTTCAGCACAAGAAACAGGAACTTCTGCAGAGGAAAAAAGAAAATCCCCTTCTTATATTTAATAATTTATTCCAGTCATTTTCCTGAGAACATTTTCTCTTCTGTTTTATAAAAAATATTTCACGATAGCTGCCATCCGTGCTAATGTGCTAATTGTGTAATTTTGTTTAGCTATTTCGTACCTTGTTGAAGTCACAGAGCTTCCAGAAGAGAACCAGCAGTTCTTGGTGGAACTGGATCTTCTTTGTGGAGTTGGGCAGATAAGTCTGTGTCAGAGGGTTGGTCAGCAGACGAGCCAGGCCCTTCAGTATGAAGTCAAAGTCCTGCACGTTGTAGGAAGATAAAAAAAAAGTATTAGCTGGGTAACAACGTTTGAAAAACCAAGAGTGTTTTATTAAAGTGTTCATGTTTCTACCTCCTCTCTGTGGATCCTTGACAAGTAATTCACAAACAGGTTTTCAGGTCCTGTGTACTGAAAAAATGTCCACATTCAGACATGTGTCTTCTCCTCCGATTGATTGATTTTTCTTTTTTTCTGTGGTTTCAGTTTCTTACCTCTTGTTCCACCATGCTGGATGGCGAGGGGGGGCGGTGAAGGACACCTCCATCGTGCTCAAGTGTCGCAATAAGGATCTGTGCAGCCTGTTCCACCAGCTGCTCCCGGTAGTCAGAGAAGAGCAGGTGGTTGTAGGGGATACCGTAGCCCACTGGGTCATAGGCACACACCACGGTCAGCAGGGAGGTGAACAGAGGCAACGCATGTCTGGGAGACAAAGACGCGTAAGTCAGTTTACCTGTATTTCTTTAATGACAGAACATGGATGTATACACGATACTGTAGTAACCTGTTTTCTGTGGAACAGAAGAAAGTCACCCAGGGGTTGAGGACAGTGTTGTCTGTCGAAGGGGGCAGGTACATGGCCTCAGAAAAGCAGGTGATCAACAGTCTCAGCAGCTCAGTCCTGGAGAAGGTCAGACGTAAAAGTCACCGAGGTGGAGATTAAAATAAATCTGTTACACCTGGATCAATAACCACAGGTAGACTTGACCAACAGACTCACCTGTTCAGGTCATGGATGTAGTTGAGTGGGGGAGACTGAGCGAAACCCACGCCTGCCTCCCAGATGTATTCACAGCTGTCTATGGACTGCATGTTCTCCACTGAGTCCTGCGCGGAGCAAGAGCAACAATAATCTCACAACAATAACATATTATATATACATATTTTTCCGAGGCAATTTGCAATCCTTTAGCAAACTTTCTTTTTTCTATCTAAGCTATTTTGCTTTTATTGCTCATTGTATAGTTTTTTGGTGGGCAAATTGTCTGGTCTATGGGATGTAAATTAGGGCTCGTGTGGAAATACTTCCCTTTTTTTTTTTACTTGCTTGTAGTCAGTAGTTCACAAAAAATATTTTAGTATGAAAAAAATGGTTATCTTATGAGAAATCTCAAGTCAGTAAAAGAGCTGCAGGGTTTATTCAGCCTAAATATTTGCTAACTCTTATCTAATCCACAATCCTACAGCACTCGAATGACGGGTTCCTTTACACCAGGAAGAAGAAAACAGTTCTTTAAATATGGTTAGCTTTAAAAAGGTCAAGAAGAAAAGGTCGAGAAGAAAGGCAGTTTTTCTTTGTGTTTCCTAAAAAGTAACAACTTGATGAGAACAGACTCCTCTGTCTGTATACTGACTGGGCCTCTCCTATGGCTGTGCACAGTGAAGTCAGGGCAGAAAAGCAAATCAGCGATGGCAAGGAGCAATGACTCAGCCAGTGGTCGGGCTCCATCATCCTCATCCAGCTCATCACTCTGGAAAGAGCAGAGACACAATTCAGAACAAATCAAGCAGCATCATTTTTCGCTGTTGTGAAGAATAATGGAGAGGAAGCTATTAATATCCCTGACTGCTGGAGTTTGTTTTATCCTTTTATTTTTCTACCAACCATCAACACCCCTCATCGGTGCCCACTCACCCCAGCTCGTCCTGCACCTGGCACTGTGGACCAGAAGAATCCTCTCCAGTCTTGATCCTCAAAGATGTAGGGAAGGATGCGAGTCAGGATTCGAGAGCAGTTGAGCACCACCTGCTTCTCGCGCTCTGTGGGGCAGCCTGACTCTGCACCCTGCACCAGCTTCTCCACAGCCTGAGGAGGCAGGGAACGGGATCTTTAGTAACACTCATGCTAATTTAGATTTGGCTAAAAAGGTTGTAAATGTGCAGTGCAGATGGTAAATGTTCTGTACTCAAACCACCTTCGCTCCAAGAGCAGCGAGAAGTGGCTTATAACCTACTAAGCCTGGAGTCCAACCCACAACCCTGTGGCTGTGTACTGAGCTACAGCCGTCCTGAACAAATACCAAATACCAAAACGACCTGAGCTGCAGCTTTTATCATTGATAAACACAAAGAACCCTGCATTTTAATTATTTATTATGTTTTGTTTATTATTAGGTAGTCTTGAAGCCAAAAAAAGAAAATATATATTTGAACAGTTTGGCCTGCAGGTGTACACACCCTTATATTGATGATGTCATCTCTAGCCAAACTGTGGATTGGCTGCTGAGAATAAAGCATTTTGCACATTTAATAAGCCTCTGTCTAAGGTATGTGAACAAACACTCCCTGGTCAGCTCAGTTCCTTTGACTTCCTCCTCTTTATTTAATTAAACTCCAGGCAGAGTGGCTGTTATTTTCCTGAAGCTTCCAGTGAAAACACTGAGCCGTAGACAGGAAGTGAGGAGAAAGGAAGGGCAGTTGACTCACTTGTTCCCCCTCTTCAAATCAGCGTCTTGCTGACAGACACTGTACCAAATTCTAACAAACAAAAATCCGTTGACACCTACATCTCTGCACAGTCAAGCTGGGAATATATACTCCACATACAGCATGAAAAGATGAGGCTTTTAGTTGCTACCTTATAGCAGAGTGTTGCTAAATTCGAGGGCGATTCTTCTCGAACAGCTCTTATCTCCGCTGCTGGCACCAGCGCAAAAACATCCTGGACTGTGGTGGTGGTGTCGGCCCAGAACTGGTCCCAGAAGGCATCATCTGTGGCCTCCACTGGCTGTGGAACATGTATATGTGTATGAATAAATTCAGTGTGTCATAAAGTGTGTGGAACACAATTTAATAATAGTTACTTATCAGGTTAAAGAAGAAACATCAAAAATACTTGGTATTTGCATGTGTGTTTGTTAAATATAAACTAAATCAAGGGAACATGCTACAGACTAATACAGTTGAGGAAGATTACCACAGGGTAACTTCATTTGGTCCTTATATTTACAGTTTCTGGGAACAAAGAAGAGTCATTGTTGTGGTTCTTGCGATGGAATTCCTGGTTTATTCTCACTGTATAAACATATTTTAGCTGCTCAACTATCAGTGACCTCCTTTGTTGGATTCTCCTCTTCATTATTATATTTAGAATATGTGGTTTACATCGTATTATTAGTACCAGTGTACCAATACTTCTATACATGGGGTTTGCGTCATCGAATGTCTGGTCCTGTATCTCACTGCCTACCATTTAAAAGCTGCTGTTTGCTCATTTTTTTTCATTTGGTTGTTTAGTGTTGTGTTACACGACTCACCCATCCACACAGGCCTGGTTAATGGCAATGTAAACACGCGCGTTCTTATCAGGAGCGTTTATCTCAGCACCTGCCTCTTCTGCAAATGTGGTCGTTTCATGACAGACGTGCGTCACCAGCGTACATTTACCAAATCTGTATTTATTGTTATTGTCAGGAGTGGTGTCGTAGCCTAAACGCTGGACGTGGCACAATAAGCGACGCGCAAACAGTCGCATGTAATCAATGTTTACGACAAAAACAAACAATCCTCTCGGGTATTTCAGTGTTTTATACACTCTGGATATTTATATCATGTCGGAAATAAATATTATGTTAAGGAAGAACGACGTGTTCAACGTCAGACGTGATTTTTGTCTGCCATATGTTTCAGTTAAAGCGTCATCACATCTCCTCGGTGATGCTGCGTGTCCTCCTCTGCTCCTCCTGCCGCCGCTGCTTCGCTCATCTTCCTCCTCTGTCTCCGCACAAACACCATCTATAAGGAGGAGCAGGTACCTGTGTTTTGGTTGTCAGCTGAATCACGGCTTTCCTGAAGTTCAGTTTGGAGTCGGTGCTACCCATGGCGATGTTTTTCCTGCACAAAGCCACACCGTCACCGTCCGTAAGCACCGCTGCGGCTCAGGATCCCAGATAAGCTCACCTCACACTCCTCAGCTTGACTCATTGGCGGAGGCGTATTTTCGCATGATTGGCTGTCTGGACAGCCGAGGAAGAGATGGACTGCAGTCGCAGTCACAGTGTAGAACACGCCCCCTGTCGAGTAAAACACGTCTTTACTATAATGTTATCCTCAGCCCTTATTTCTAACGTTATTCCAATCTTGCCTTCTTTGAGTAATTCTTACATTCGCATAGGGACGGTTGTTTGAATCATAGTGGGCGTGTCTATTGTGGAGGGGGTGTGGTTTACCTTGCGCGAAACGTCAATATGGATGTGATCTTATTCCTAATTTCACCAATATTTACGAGAGTACAAATGAAACTTTCACATGGAATTATTAAGTACAGATATTTGTTAACAATATAAATACATTTTAATGAAATTCTCGATACATTGATTTATAAAATTTATAAAATATGAATTTTATTTCAATTTAACTTTCCAATAACTAAAGAAACCTAATTCTTGTTTAAGGAAGGCTACAATTCGATTATATACATACATGAAGCAGCGGCTTCTTCTGTGGGGAAATTTCAATCTTTAGCTGCTCAAGTAAGAAAAGAAACATGTCAAGTGTTTTTTTTTTTTGTTTGTTTGTTTGTTTGTTTTTGTTTTTTGGTCACGGAAATGCAACTTTTGGACAGCAATTACAGGGTGTTGTGAAATGTTTACAGGACATTGGGGCTGGAAAGGGCAAATACTACTAACAATTTTTAAACCGGTAAGTTTGTTTTACTCTGAGTGCGAGTTTTTTTCTTCCTAACTTCTCTGTGGACTAGTTTGTTTTGTTTTTTGTATTTTAGTATTATTACAAGCTATTCATTTATTTTGTCATTTTGTATTTTTGACAACAATATGGCCGCACCTGCTCTCGTGTTGCCTTCATGAGCTGCTTGTAACCTCTTAATTTTAATTCTGCTTACTAAGAATGATTTACAGTTTAAGTTGCGCACCTCGAACGCACGATATAACCAACGACTTACCACATATTACAAACAAAACCTTGTGTTTTATTTTGACTGAAAATGCATAAAGTAGTGGACATTGTTCGTCTGTAGTTAACCGACGTGTAGAGAAAAACTTTCCGTCGGCACTTAAAGCAACCCGGCCGCTACGCGCAGCCGCAGTGCCATGTAAACAAAGCTACGGCTTCCTGTGGTTATACTTTAGGTTAACGTCTCTAAAAGAAACAAGCTAAAAGAGATGTACTTAAATTCGTGCTTTTTAACAGGGAATTTTCCTCATTGCTAAAAAGACACTAATTACTTTAACATTTAGTGGTCGGCGAAATATTTAAGGTCAAGTTAAGATAGCTTAGCTAGCGGTGTTGTTAGCATTAGCTTTTGCTCAATGATAAAGCGATTCAGGTTGGTTCATTTACAAACAAGGTTATCGACGGACGACCTCTTGTTTTACTGAGTCTACGTGTCACCAGGCCTACAGTTTTTCTGGTTTGACAGAATGACCAATCCCACCACGTCACTTTTAAAAGTCGTCGACTAAACGCAGCGGTTTAGTTCGGATAACTGAGGCGACAGGCCATCGACAGGCTGTTGTTTTTCAGTTAACAACAGCCGTTTTACTTTGTTTCCTCTGAAGATATCGATAACGCTGATATAACTGTCATCATATGTTGACTGACAACAGGTGAGTTTTAAATGCATTGTGCTTTTTGTCAGTCACGTTTAGCTATATTAATGTCACTTTATCGTGCTGAAATGTATTTAGTGTTAATAATAAATCAGTGGTCATTATGAAATAAAATGTATTATTACTATTATTAGTATGGACGGTAGTTTTTGCTTTGTTTCTTTGACTACACCAGGCTTTTTGATACCTAATATGGTCCTTTTCAATGTGCTATATTTCTTTGTACACACATTGGGAAAACATACATTAAGCATATTAAGTGTATATATGTCCTGGGTGACTTAGTAATATTTAAGTGTTTCTTTATCTAAATAATTTATTTATTATATTTTGGTATTGAGTAACAAGCAACAAAAGAACATCTGTACATTAAAATAAAGTTTGAGGTAGGTACTATATGTTACATTGTGTTGTATGCATGCTCTATGATACTATTCTACAATACTACTATGATTCTATTTAAAATCATTTTATTGTTTAATGGTATCTTACCTTAATATTTAAGGTATAAGTTTGATATAGTAAGTATTATTGTAATTGATAAACGTTTGTGGCCATGCAGGAAACGACAGCGCAGCGGGGGTGATGGTGAAGAGGAAGTTAGCCACCTGGTGCCCCATGCCAAAAGGCAAAGCAGAGCTCACCCTCTGTCTCCTGAGCCGGGCCGCGATGCATGGGACTCTGAGGTACAAAATTACATTGAGCTAAAGAAGTAGAAATGAACCAGACAATAGTTGACATCCAGGTTGTTCCATACCCTCACTCCATAACTGATGTGCGCCAAGAAGGATTAAGTAATAGAAGAGGAATTAATTATTGAATACATACATTTACATTGAAAATATTTTTTTATCTTTTTTATACCTGTTGGTGCAGTATCTGAGTACATACACTTGTGCTTTATGTTCATCTTGCATACATTTAATATTCTATTTTGTCCTGAAATGGTTTGTGTTGAAGGGAATTTTACTCTAAAAAGATCTAGTTATGACAAATAATTCTGGTTTTATATGATGTACCAAGTTTAGAAGGAGACACTCACGTTGATATGTGCATTACAGTCATCCAACAGTGAGAGCAGCAGCAGCTTCAGCACTCCAGAGTTTACAGATGGAAGCTCCAGCAGTCGTTGCACTGCGGGGCCCTGCAGTCCTCTCTGCTCCGGCTCAGAACCGGCCTTCCCGACAAATGGGAAGTCCTACCTGCAGATAAACCGCATCCTGAAGGAGGCCCACTTTCAGAGCCTGCAGTGCCGGGGCCACCTCAGAGATACATGATGAGACCAAAGTGCGTTGGAGCTTTACTAGCTGAATCTCTTCACTCAGCCCTTCCTCACTCATCTCCAGTTACTGTGAAATCTCAAAGCTCTGCTCATCTGTTGATGGAGATCAGCACCTGGTCAGGTATCTACTGAGTGTTTATTATTTTATATTAATTGATAATCACATCAGCAATAATTAGTGTGTGATCCACTCAAGCAAAGGTTTTACAGTGGCTGACTGATGATAGGTTGTGTGTTTTTGAATGTGGTTTGACATAGAAGGCACGCGACACAGTTGTAGGTCAGGTAGTTTAACTCATGTAGTCTCCTTTAGAGTTGAGTGACCTGGTAGAATATGTACTTGGACCAGTCTCAGGGAGGATTTGCACTTGTCTTAGGCTGCTCACTTGTTTTCATATTTAGTAGACTTATTTTCACAGAGCTGTGAAAAGCCACAGCCCTAGAACGTTGTTCTTTTCCCACATTTAGTTTATTAGTGACAATAGAAGTGGAGTTTGAAATAATTGATTATACCACAGGACAAAAACAAACATTACTGCCAAATGACTGAGTGAAATAACTGGATTTTTCCTTAGTGTTGTTGAGGGAACAAAGAAACTATAATAATCTTCACAGTAAGTGATGGTGCTCCTGTTCTAGTCATTGGCTGATTAACAATGCACTGACCATGTACTCAAAAGCAATACTTCAAAAAACAACAAAAAAAGATTTGTGTTTTGCTTTATGAGTGAATGGATGACTGGATACTTAATCAAACTCCATTTTACTCCAATCTATTTAAAAAATAAATCTCGCCATCACTGTTGTGATCACAACAGAACAGCTGTAATGTGATCAAAAGTCAACTGGGACCATGAAATACGACATTCCTCAGGCCTTGTTTGCAACACTGCTGAAGTTTCCAGTTGCTGTTTTAACAGACCCTTGTGTTTGTGCATCACCACCCGCTGGTCAATGACCACATGTACTAAACATCCAGGTCCAAGCACTGACTGACTGACCGCAGGGCGATGCACACCTTTGTTTTGTTTTGTTGATGTCGAGTCACTCCTGGTACCTTTCAGGCCTGAACTCGGCTGTTTTTTTTATTATTATTATTATTATTTGGCTCCTGCTCCAGGAACTGTTTAAGTAGATCTGTTTTAATGTGTATATATATTTGTGATATTTTTGTATTTTGTAATGCACATGACATTAACTTGCCATGTTCATTTTTCATCATTTCATAAATAAAACTTAATGTTTTTGGACAAATGCTGTGTCTCAGATTTGAAGGTTTTGATTCATTGCTCTTATGCTAACTTCCCTCCATTTCCCTTTTTCAAGCAGTTCAAGGTACAGTATCATTTAGCAGTGAGCCCGTATGCACAGCGCTAGTGTTGAATTTTAACTGCCTCTGTGTGTGAACTAAAAGCATGTTTAGGATGTCACGGCACAACTCGCTGCACAACTCGCTGCAATTTTTATTTGCTTTCGCCATAAATATTGCCATTGTGTTGACCAACTTTATTTCATTAGAATCGTTGTGCATTCAAGAGGGCAGCGAGAGCTGCTCTGATGTAGCTCTTTACTGTCAACATAACTCTGTTTATCGCACATAAACTAATTCAGCTCGCACCTGCAACACACTCGCATATGAAACAGAGGAGTGTTTATGTCTGGATCACAGCATTTTATCATTAATTATGTGTGTACTGATTTTCTTTTCTTTTTTACAGTAAATGGTACGAGCAGTATGATGCTGCTCAGGAGTCCATGTTCACTGTTGTCTGATTCTCCTCTCCATTAATTTTCCTCAGGGGGTCGATCTGGTCAAGCAACAACCACTAAAGTCACAATTTGTATTTTGTGCAGAATAAAGCTTGACGTTGAACTGCTGAGAAATCTATTTTCTACTGGGGTTACATGTTTTGATCGGGGGGGTCGCTTAAAATTACATTAAGGCTACGTTCACACAGCAGCTCTTTATGTTCAATTTTTATTGTTCGCTTTGTTTGCTGTTTTCATGTTTTAATTTATGCAATCATGCAGCATCGAACCCGTTACAAGTTATAACAAATATTATATAAATACCAAGTGGTAAAACTTAAGGCTGAGACATTGAGTTCCAGATGACATGGGAAAAAAAAGGTATTATTCTTGGGTAATGAAAGCAACAGTGTGTGTGTGTACACCTATAACCTCATGTTACGTCCTGGCAGTAGTGTCAAAAGTGTGTGGATATCAAGGACGATGTACAGTATGATAAAAGGAGTGTGTGTCGACAGTAGGTTTGTTGTATATACGACTGTGAGTGGTCATCAAGATGAGGACAGCGTTATATAAATACAGGTCACTTAGCATTACAAGAGGACAGAATGTCAAGGGGAAATTTGAAATTGTAATAACGGTGTATGATGGCTGTCAGGCATCCAGCTGAGGTGCTGTACAGTGTGTGAAAATACAGTGAGAAATTATATATATTTTTCCTCTTGAAATGAGCAGAAAAAACTGACTGGATAATGAGATATGACCTGAGTCTAAGGGAGGAGCAGTGAAAGGTTTCTTTAATTAGCTCACCACACGTCCTTGTCTGCTCTCAGACACAGTAACAGATTACATACATTAAAGCCCTGCTCGTTACCTCGCCGGCTACTAGGCCTCCTCATTACCTGCCTCCTTTGATACCCTTGCTCCACCTCTGCTTATAGTTAGAGATGACAAATGGGCCAATGATAATTCAGGATTAACCACATTTCTGCTCCCTGACAACATACAGTAGCTCTGCCTCTCAGGTATGTGCCTCGTGTTATGAAAGACTGCTGCCAAACAACAGCACCAGGATGTGAGCAATTAGAGAGGAATGTTTGTCTTTTACCATTACTTTAGCTCTTCCTCCATGTGAAATGGGGGGGTTGGGGGGTTATATTCTAGCTAAACCTGTACATATACGTAATATTTTAATTAATATTATTTAACTACTTTTAGACTAACTTAGAATTATATTTATACATTATTTTTTGTTGTTTGTTATAATTATAATAATTGATATTATTATATATATGGGTGGGACACTCGAGTCGAATCGAGTGATTATTTCAGAAATAAAAAAAACTGTTAATCAAAAGATCAGCGAAACAAAGAGTTTGTATCCATTAAAAGAACAGTAGAGGGCAGCAAAGTCTCATTCCTAGTAGGATTAAAACCATTAAAGTTTGAATTTAATAACCGTTTGGGAGAATTTCCATAGGAAGAACATTAGTGGGACATTTGTATATTTTTTCCATAAGCTTCTCCTCTTCTTCATACACACACACATACACACACTGTCCTTTCCACGCAGATATGAAGGTGGGTGGTGATGAATGGCTCACATCAGTTGAGTGGAGAGGCAGGAGAGAGTTAAATGAACTGTCCTTGTTCTCAGGTCTATGTATGCGCATACATTGTTATATTTTACCATGGCCAGCAGAAAAGAGAGAGTGAAAAAATAGAAAAAAGGGGAAAAAGCCACACACACACACACAAAAAGAATTGGGTTAGTTGAGATTTTATATGAAAATTGCTCTTATTGTAATTAAAAGGGGATTAAGCAAATGTACGTTTGGTAATGATAATTGCCCTAGAGTAAAAAACTGAAAAATGAATAAAATATAACTTAATTTGAGCCCCAAATTGCGAAGAGGAAATCTATATACATATAGCAAAAAAGTGTGCCAAAAATAACAATTAAGCAATACAATGGTCAGCAGACACCATTCTGTACAAAATACCAAAAATACAATTAAAAAATGTTTAATTACAATTAGTGATGAAGGGTTATGATTTGATAAGAATTAAATATTGTATTGTTAAGAGACACCACAACAAAAATAACTATAAGACAAAAGTTCTAAAAATAGACTGAAGTCATAAAAATATCTAAGTCATTGACAACTAACCAGATACCTGGAAGCACTAAGAACAGTGAAAGTTAGCCGAAAGCACCTGCTTTCCTTTCATTTTACATTTAGTGACCAAATCACCTTGAGCGCTGTACTTTCTAATTATAATCTGAATAATCTCTGGCGTGAAATTACGCAGTCAGAGACAGTCCTTCAAGCGAATGCTTTTAAACAGTTTTTAAAATGTCACTTTAAAGCCGATCTGGTCACCTCTGATTCTCTCTGCCAGACTTTGGCGTAGTTGTGTTTGGGCAGCTGTTGCCTGGCATGAGACCGTGATTGGCCTGCCGTCAAGTCCGCTGCTTTTCTCCAGCAGCCAACACAAACATCTGCTTTGCCGCCCACCACCATTTTTGACCCAATATCAAACAACAAAGCCTCGCCCGCGCCACTGCCCCATAGCCATCCGAAGAATTAATGACCCACCAAGCACATTAGCGGTGCCCTAACGCCCTGGCTCGGCTGGAGCAGGGAAATAGGGAGTGCTATGGCAAGTGAACAAGGAGAGTGAAGGGGGTTAGTGGGTCGGAATGATGAAGTACTTCGCAGGTCAGGAATTGCGAGGGCTAAACTGATATTTGGATGAAATTGGGTTCCACGTTTATCCAGACTTCCTATTTGTTAAATTGCCACCTATCGACTTACCTGTCCGCCAGATTACAATTACTGCACATCTTAACGATGCCTTATGTTGAATGATGGTCTAACAGCTTTGTCTGTTTGATACGGTCGGTTCAAACTTTAAATGTACAGTACTTTTTTAATTGTTTGATCAGTTAGACACAGCCAGCTGATGACACAGTTTGATAATGAAATGAATGCTAAAAGGCTTTGATGCTTTGATGCCACCAATGTGACTAACAGACCGAGGCCAGAGAGTGAGATGGTTAGCGGCTAACCTGCTGCTT